TCCCCGGGATCAGCGGTTCGGCTCACACCCCTGGCTTCAGCCGTTCTGTTCACATCCAGACATCAGCGGTTCTGCTCACACCCCGGACATCAGCAATCCTGCTACAGCCCTGGCTTCAGCAACCCTGCTCATAGACCATCCGTGTCCCTGCTCACACCCCTACATCAGCGGTTCTGTGCACACCCCGACACCAGCAACCCTGCTCACACCCTACATCAGTGTCCCTGCTCACACCCCTGGCTTCAGCAACCCTGCCCACATCCCCAACATCAGTGTTCTGCTCACACCCCGACATCAATGTCCCTGCTCACACCCCTGCATCAGTGTCCCTGCTCACACCTCCCGTCTGAACCCATCTTCCCCCTGCCTGCCAAACATCTGCAGCATCCCCCCCACCCTGCCCCTTGATTCGCTGTTTCTTCTTATTGAGTTCTCCGAGTCTCTCTGCAACTTGTCAGAACCTGTAATAAAATGCCCTTTTCTTCGTCAGTTAAAGTCCAGAGGGCATCAGATCCATTTCCAGCTGACAGCAGAGGAGCCGGGCAGGACAGCGGCGGGAGGATCGCTTCTGTGTGCCCCAGGGGCTTTGACTATTTCACATCAAGGCACCCCGAGGGCAGGCTGTCCCCATCCTGCCCTCCTGGCTTGGTCACCCAGCACCACCCTGGGACCAAAGCTGGGGCTCCTGGGCATCCCCTGCCCTGGGGGAGCCTGCAGATCCCTGCCAGGGAGGGCACTAAACACCAGAACATCCTCATGGCCCAGCCCAGATATGTGAATTGTTCTTATTGTTATTGTCATTTTTTTTAGTTATTTCTTATTTTAATTCTTTATTTTTTCTACTAATATCTCCAGAGTACATGGAAGATGCACAACCACTATATGATACATATATATTCTATTATATATTACATACATATATATACACACATATATACATATATACATACATATATACTATTATATATTATATAGAAGGCAACATCAGACACACGCAATGAATATTTGTTCCTTTTATATCCACATGCCTGTGCATTGAGAATAATGCACGACCATAAATATGAATATCTATAAGTGGTGTGTATTTATGCTTGCATGCATATGTACATTAATAATCATGCACTGCACACGTGTGTTTGCACAGAGAGGAGATATATCTACATAGAAACATAAAGACACGCTTTCCTTGTGTGGTACTGCACAAAAAAAATGTCCATCCTGCCCAGTCTGCCCCTCCTCTGCTCCCAGAGTTGTGTGTAGGACCAGAAAAGCACGTCAGAGTATAAGGTGTGAGAGGCCAATAAGCCCTTAAGTGGTTACACGTGATTTATTTTCCTTTCAAGCCCAGGCAAACAAATCACAAAGAGGAGGTTGGTTAAAAAACACTCTCAGCAAGGTGCTCTGTAACCCCAGCACAGCCCAGCGTGTCCTGGCACGGGGTCAGGCTGTGGGGCTGCTGCTGGGGCTGCGCCTCTGATCAACTATTTATGGCCACTGCATCTTTGCATAACATTTACTTTGCTTTCTTTAATGGCTTTCTGCACTCCTTTCCCTGCTCCTCGCTGCACACAGCCTCAGTCAGCCCCAGTGATGATATCAAGGCAGGTTTTTCTTTTTTTTTTTTTTTCTATGGTCCAGCCAAAGCGAGGTCATTCTAATAATACCCAAGGTCACTGGTGGGAGCCACCGAGTCTCCCAGTCATTTTTCATTTGCTTGCAACAGTTAATGACAGTCACAGGGATGGAGCTGGGAGCTGATGGCCATGTGATGTCACCAGCACATGCTAGGGGATTATAAGGGCAGGTACAGGGCAGGGTTGTGGATTAAAAATGATGGGGAAAAAAAATCACTATTAACTGCTTCACTCCAGCAGCTTGGTGGAGAAAAAAAAAATAAAAACGTTACAGACAAAGGAGGGGGATTTCTTCCTCCCACCCCCCTCCAAATCAGTCCTCTAAAATGCCAGCTCAACTGCTCCATTTTTTCCTGATTTAGTGACTCAGCTGGAAGAGATCTGTGCAGTGTGTGAGGGGAGGCGCTGCTCGCTGTACCAGCTGCTGGGCAAGAGGTTGCAGAAGCAACCTTGCAATTTCCTGGGGGCGTTCCTCTCCCTCCCACCCAAATCAGGGGCCTCATCCCTTTCCTCCTTCTGCCAAGGGCAAAGCCTGTGCTGGCACCAGCAGGAGTCACACCTAGACAAGTTTTTGGAGGTGTGTTGGGGGAGTTTTTTGGTTGTTTTAACTGATATTTTCTATTCTAGCTGTCCATATGGGGAAAAAAAAGAATGAAAAGGAAGCAGATCTCCTGGTTAGATCCCCCTGGTGAGGCTGCTCTGTGGCTGGGAGAGCCCTGGGGAGGTGGGTATTGATTTAACCATGTGCACCAACTGTGAGGTTCATGCTGCAAAGTGCCCCTCACACGGCCGTGGTCATCCTCAGAGCTGCCCTCGCTCCCAGGGAGCCACCCCAGGGCTCCCAGTGCTCATGTGTGGCCCCAGGTTCAAACCCATGGGCTGAAACATCACACCCTGCAAAGCCAGGAGAGTGCAGGGACCAGGGGAAGAAGCTCCACAAATCAGCTAGATACCAAATTTCCAAATAATTTAATAAATATAATCATATTCTGCTCCAAAAGGTGCACAAGTAAGAATTTTTTAACCTGTAGGATAACTAATAGTTTGGATAAACTGCTCTTTCTCACTGAGAAACAAACCAAAAGGAAGATAAATTGCATATTAATCTTCACTCAGCTTCTCATCATTGAACTATTTTGTCTTTGTTATCTCATCTTACTGTATTTATTTATGAAACATGACCTTCTCACAGCCTTTGTTTCTGCATCTTTATTCTTTTCTGACATATTAACTGTAGAGTGATCATCAGTTTAGTGGTTTGTTATTGTCAACACATATATTTTTTTTTTAAATTCTATGGAGAAAGTTGGATATCAGTTGAAATCTTCATCCAGTGATTTTTATTAATTCAATGTACAAGAGAAAAACATGTCAACACAAGAAAACAATTACAACAGAAAACAAGTGATTGGTTTATATGACTATCTGATTTCTAAAATTGTTTTGTAGCCTCCAACCTTTTATGAAAGTCTCACTGCTGAGGTCAGTGGGCTTTGGATGGACTTCTGCTTAAAGCAGGATGGATCAATGGAGTGAAGAGATGAGTTCAAAATGATGTCACTGTCCAAAACACCCCGAGATGCATAAACCCCACACTTCGTATTTTCTGTGTTTATCTCCTCTTAATGCTCATCCCTGCAAATAACTTTTCCTTCAGATCCTGTGTCTCCTTTGGATGAGAAGACAGGAACAGATGAGCTGGAGGCTGAATTTTGGAGCCAAACTGAGCAGTGGTGGCTGCAGTGACCCCTCTGAAGGATACTGAGCTGCAGCAGTACAATTCCAGCTCTGGGAAGTTTTGTTAAGGATCCTCAGGTGTCACCTGGTGCTTACTGTCAGAATCCAAGCCTGCTGCATTTATTTCTTTTCCCTGGGAGGACACAAACCCTTGTGCTGCTCCTCAGATGAGAAGAACGTGGCAGATCCTTCCTCTCTGCCTGTTTTCAACAGAAAGGCTCGCGTCCCGTTTGTCGTGGTTAATAGGATTAGAGCATCAGCCTTTCTGGAGGAGATTGAAATGCAGGGGAACAGTGCTACTGAGGTGTCTTTCTTCTCCTCCTGTGATGGGCAGAAGGACACACCTCCAAGCAGAGGGGATTTGTCTGGTGGGAGCAGGCAGATTATCTGTATCTAGTGAAACAAGGTGTGCATGGCAACCTTTGCCAGGGCTCAGAGCCAGAACCTACACTATAAAATAATTGTGTCACTACCTAACCAAGGCACTCTTCATGTTTCATTTATCTTTTGACTGTAATTGAATGGTTGAACAGCAAAAAAAAAAAAAATGTAGACAAATTCCAGCTGTATTGAGATCTGTTTCTTTCTCTGCTACCATGGCCCATCATTAGATAGTTTCACTCTCTGTACAGAAGGTCAGAGAGTATAAATATAAATTGCATTTTGCATTACTTCTAGATGAGTGAAGCTGTCAAAGCAATAATATAAGCTTTCAGTCCCACATTCTACCACTTCTTTCCCAGTTTTTGGCCAGGAGGTCATGTGCAAATTGAACGTGACAGCCCAGACGACATGTCCAACAGACTTATATTGTTAGACATTTCTGCCATGGCACTCACCACAAATTAAACCCACGTCGGACTTGGAGCTCTTCAAGAGCTGCTAACAGTAGCTCAGGCTTCTTGCAAAAAAGTTTATGTCCACGTCAAGCCTGTGCAAGAATAACAGCAACTCTTTTGGAGGATCTTGTCAAAAAAAATGGAAAACACGAGGGGAAAAAATTCTGACAGGTAAACCTGAAAGAGCTGAGCACAGTAATGCAGACTTTAAGTTGTTTGAAAGGTGGGTAAATCTATGCTGTATGTGTGTGCTCTTCACTTCTGTCAAAACTCTCTCCTCCAATCTATCATTAATATGTAATATTTGGTATTTAGTGGATATTTTTGCTGTCTGCATTCAAAAGAGGGGGACCAAACTCCTAATTTTCCACCTTTTTTTATGCAAGCAAAGTTAACTTTGTGTCTGTTGATAAAACACTGTGTACAACAGTTAAGATATTGTTGATAACTTAGAAATAACTGTATATTTATAACATTGAAATCGGCATGGGCAGCTTCCACTAGCAGCTATTTGAATCTAAAGTCAAAATTAATTTGTGAAAGTAGATGTTACTGAATATTGTCTTTTATATTAACTCAGAGCAGAGTTTTCTGCAGAACACCAGAAGGATTAAAATTGAGGTTGTTGTCTTTAGCTGGAGTCAAATCAGGTGTCAAAGTAGCTTTAGAAAGTTCTTTGTGCTGTGTACAAAGATAATGCTGAATGACAGTGAAACAAGATCGCTCTGGGGACAGAAAACCAGATTTCCAGCCCTTCACCTTTAGGTGTCTCAAAATGCAGCACGGGCTCTGAACAACTGAAAATTCTTAGCATCTGGCAGTGTCATGCTAAAGAGCTGGTGGTCTTGGTCCAAATCTTGGCAGAAAGGAGTTCACATTATAAATTACATTATAAATTACATTATCTGGCAAATCTTTGCAGCATACTGAGCAGAGGGGCCAAGAGCTCACTTGACACAGAACCTCCTGCTTCCCTTCATGGCAGAAATGTTCTCCCTAGATAAGGGCTGAGCACGGATCAAGAAAAGTCCCTGCCATTCTTGCTTTACCAGCTTCCCATGAATGAACAAAGAACTTCATTTTCAAGGACTACCAGGGCTTTCTCTCTCCATTTTTTATTATTTTTTTCAGAAGGACTAAACTTAGAGGGAAGAGTTTGAGCCCCATCTGGTACAAATCGGTAGGGGCTTTGCAGGCTTCAGTAGAGCTACACTGATTTACACCAGATGATGCTATTAGAGGACTGAACTATCCAACAATAATTATAAAAAAAAAATGCCTTTGATTATGCATGTGCAACAACTATTTATGTTTACATTGCAGAGATTTGCATGTAGCACAGTGGGGAGTATTTTATCTCTTGAAAACATTGCACCAGCAGAAATAATCCACTGACATTCAAATGAGCAAAGAAATACCCGTGTTTTACCACAAGATGGACCATAAAGGATGTTCTTCATGTGTCTTTTTCGAGCAGATTTGTCAATAATCCTCAACTGCGAAGTTTATTCTAAAGAAAGAAAGATGGGACAAAAAGAAAAAGGTAAAAGTCATGTTCTGTTCCATGTGGTTGCATTACAGATTGCTCTGAACTCTGGGTCTCGGTGCAGCCAGGTGATCCTGCACTTGGGAAAGAGGATGGAGGAACCAGGTGAGAGAAGGACATCAAAAATGCCCCACAAAAGTCAGCACCATACCTCACTGGCAGCATTCAAAGCAGATTTTCAAAGAATTTCAACCAGTTCAAATCCAGAGTGAATTGGACACAAACCTATCAAAGGCAGAGATGGAGATAATCATGTGAAAACTGGGAGATTCTGCTGAAGCACCAGCCTGGAACAGCACAACAGAAATTACCATTGGGGTAATTACACTGACATTTAAGCTTTCAAAACAGAAAATGCTTAAAATATGCAGTAATATGTTGTATCTTTGACTCACAAGAGGAAAGGGAGATGAAAGCACAGGTAATATTCCTTTGATGTTTGAACTACATACTCAGGTCTCCTGCCTTGACTTCTGGGGTTTTTTTATTTGCTAATTGTGCTTTGGTAGTGCTTCGAAGGCATTAAATTCCTCAAATTAAGGCACGTTGCCCTACTCCAGATATAGCTTTCCTCTTGAGAGCCAGGGAGAAGAGTGTTGCTGGCATTTTAAGTTCAAATGCCCAGCAGAGAATTGGAAGATCCACAGACATCATTTCCATGACCCTTTTTCACCTTTGCATCTTCCTGATGAGGAAAACCAGGAGATTCTCCCTTCATACCCAGAAGAAGTAAATTTTATCCCACATGGGAGATTGCAGAGCACTGAACTCACCTGGATGGTTTGGCAAAGACTCCATTCTCTTGTCCTAAAAACACATTGCCTCAGTTTCCCTGTCAAATGGATGTGATAATGATGATCTGCCTCTTGGGAGCACTGTGAACAGCAATTTCTGGTTTTATTAGCTCTTCCAAGATGAAATATGTCACATAAATGGTCAGAGTTATTAAACTGGGCTTAATTAGCAAGGGCTTGATAGGAATTTCTATCATAAAAAGGTGTCTTTGAACACATGAAGGAGTTGGTGGAGTTGATCCTGGCCCAAGGCTTCCCTTCTGTGTGGCAGAGCAGCACAAGGATGGCAAAAGGGAAACCATCCCACCCATCCCACTGCATCCCTAAATGAGAGCCTAAGAGGAGAATACAAAGTGTATGCCCAGGATCAGTGTGAGACAGAAATCCCAATTAATTTCTGAAGTAAATACGGTGAAAATGAGCTTCCCAAGAATCCTGACTGCTCAAAACAAAGTGAGAATTAAAAAACCAGACCCAAGTTCTAGCAGAGGAAATGTGACAAGGGGAACACAGGCTTACTTGGGAGCTTTGGAGCACCAGTCAGATGGGATAAATCTACTTTTGTATCTCTGTGGGTTTAGTTTTCTCTAAAAGCAGAGCTCTATTTTGATGGCTGGTTTGAGGGAAAACTAAGCTACTGTCATTAAAACCCAAACTGTAATCCTAGCAAATTAGCCAAACCTCCAGGCACTCTGCTCACCAGAATTTCCTTACCAGAGGAATCTGTCACTTTGTCACTACAGAATGAGGCCAAATTTTCAAAGATGTCTCTGCAGTGAGACTCACAGGTCTGGTGCTGAGCCATCAGGAGATTTGCATGCACAGTTTGGGTTTCCAATATGACAATACGAAGTTTAACTCCAAACACAACTGTGTTGCACGAGTTGCATTAAAAAAAAAAAAAAACAAAGTGAGAAAAAGCCTCTTTTCATTTTCTGGGACAAGCATGAGTAAACTAAAGTGACAACTGTGCTTTTGCTTTACATTCAGGCTCCCTTTGATTTTTCGTGAGAGCTTGGACACCCAGAAGCTGCCTTCATAGGAGCTAAGCAGGAAAATAAAAGAAGTTTTAAAAACTTCTCCTGTGTTGAAATCAATGGATGTTGAGCACTGAAGGTTATGAATACAATTCTCCTGAAATTTTTTTGTGTTGATTACAAAAACTGCCTCTAGATCTTTAGGGGGGATATAGATGTTCAAGATATTAGGGGGCACAGTGATGGATGGTGATGGTTTTAAACAAAAATAGGTTAGATTTAGATTAGATGCTGGGAAGAAATTCTCTCCTGTGAGGGTGTGAGGCCCTGGCACAGAGAAGCTGTGGCTGCCCCATCCCTGGGAGTGTCCAAGGCCAGGTTGGATGGGGCTTGGAGCGCCCTGGGATAGTGAAAAATGTCCCTGCCCATGGCAGAAGGGGTGCAAAGAGATGATCTTTGAAACCCAAACCACTCTGGGATCCTGTGGCTCTGTGATTCCATGAGGATGGATCAGTTCTGAGGGTGTGGGTGCAGCTCTCTGTGCCAGCAGGGACAGCAGGGCTGAGCTGGGTCACTGCTCGCTCCCCGCTCCAGTGCAGGGGGCTGAGACCCTGCAGGGCACCGATGTCATGTGTGTCTGAGCAGAGCTGGGCACTTCTGGTGTGGTTACAGACATCTCTGCCTTAGTGGCACCAGCTCCTGCAGTCTGCCAGATACATCAAGTGTGCTTCTAAATCTGGTGTTTATTTTTCACTCCATTTTGCCCTCCATCAGGATTGAACCAGCTGGGCACGCAGCGCTTCTCTTTCCAATTTTATCACTAACAGGTTTTGCTATGGCTCAGTTTCTTCTGCATTTTATGTGTTTTTAAATTGGTAGATGCTTTAATGATATTTGCAGCTAATATGTCCCTCCCCTGAGCCACATCCACTGCACTTAGAGTGTTCTATCAAATATCTGTGCCAGGGCTAGAGTGTCACAGGGTTTCGTCTTTTCACCCTGTCCAAAAGGGGAGTTTGGAGTGGGCCATCACAGGGGCTGCTGTCATACACTTCAGGTCACTCATTTACTTCCCAAATTAGTGCAGCCCCAAAGCAGGGTGTGCAGTCATGCAGTGACTGCTGTCCCAGTGTAAAGCGGCACAGCTGGGCACTCCAGCCTGGTCTAAGATCAGTTTTTGAAGCTGGGCTCTGCTTCCTACAAGTGTGCATTTTGTATGCACACTCATCTGTGTGTTTAAAGATATTTCATTATTTGTTTATGTATGAATTCATGGCATAAATGTTCATGTTACGTGATGAAATAAATTTAAAACATTTACAAATTTATCAATCCAGAATCTCTTTTTATTCTTTTTTTTTTCTCCTCTTCTTTACTGAATGACTAATGAATAAATGTTTAGGGAACGTGTTTATCATGCAGAGAAAACTTGTATTCAAACCTTCTATTTATTTTTCTGTTTCACTCTGTGGATATCTTCACTGTGGGGCAATTTGTTTTTCTTCTGGGAGGATTTCTGCCTCAAAGCTTTTGGCCAGAATGTCATACCTGGGTTGGAGAAATCTTTTACAATTTAACAGAAAGAGATGTCATTTTTTAAAGCATCTTTAATTTCCAGCAGAAGAAATACATGCACATATGGGATTCAAGCTGAAACTCTCAGAGTCTCCTCTGCCAGAAGAGTTTGTTGGGGCTGAGGGTTGGACAAGTCAACCACAACCTCTTCCCTCTTGCAGGAACAACATCTGTGAGGAGGCAATGCCTGGGGTGACAGGAGACACAGACAGGGAGAGCTGACCCTTAAACCAATTCACAGCCACCCCTTGCTTCTCATGCCATCTCCTCTAATACAAAATTTTATACTGTCCTTATTACAAATCTTGATTTTTGGCATGATTTTCAAATTGTTTGTTTGTTGGGTTTGGTTTAGTCTGTTTTTTTCTACAAGAGCTGCAATCCTTGGCATTATTTTCTGCAGCTCTAAGTAAAAAAAAAAACACACATCACTTTCTTAGCCCAAAGCATTCACTTTGCAGATGCCCCTTACCAGATTTGCTGTAATAAACAAATTTAATAAAATAATTTGTGTTGTTCTTGGGAAGGCTGAGGGTTAAGGAGACATTTCATGAATAAAATAATCCCTGATGTACAGATGAGCACGATCAGGAACGTATACTTTCATATACTTTACATATACGTATACTTTACACAATACTTCCTCTTATCCATACCCATTGCAGAAGCAACTCAAAACACCAGCCCAAATTTCAATTTATGGGCAGAGGAATTGCTGAGGAGATGGGGTTGAAGACTGAGCACTGCAAGGATCTGTTCCTCTGCAGACATTGTGCCAGCCAAGCTCTCACTCCCCTGCTTTGTCACCCATCTCGAGCTGCTGCTCTGGTGACAGAGCCTGGCACAGCCAGCCAGAACCAAACGTGGCCATCCCACCATGGTTCACATGCTCCGAGGTGCTGAGGTGTCCCCTGCCAGCCCTGCTGTGGCTCTGCAGCCCCTGGCTGAGTGACAGGGCTGTGCCCAGGGCTCACCTGGCTCTGCAGGGCTCCCCGAGCAGGGGACACCAGGTGGTGCAAAGGCACCGTGCTGGATCCGGTGCCATCTGCCCTCCTGGCCATGGGCACGGAGCCTCTTGGATGTGCCAGGGAGTCCTGGCTGCCAGAGCAATCCCTCGCTGCTGCTGACAGCTTGTAGGAGGGACAGGACTGTGTCCAGATGGCCCCAGATTTTGAGGAGCTGCACTGAGAGATGGAAGCTGAACTCACCCCTCCCTGAGAGTGCTTTCTTCTCCCATATTCCCCATTTCCTGCTCCTGTCATCTGCCATCCCTGACAGCACCAGCACTGGCAGTGCCGCCCCATCCCCAGGCAGGCTGGCAACCATCCCCACCTTCCCCAACCTGCCCTGCCTGCCACGTTCCCCCACCTCCCTGCTGAGGGCCAGCCTGGGCTGCTGGGTGCCCCTTTCTGTGTGCCCCTTTCTGGGTAACCCCTTTCTGTGTGTCCCTTTCTGTGTGCCCCTTTTCGGGTGCCCCTTTCTGTGTGCCCTTTCTGGGTGCCCCTCTCTGTGCACCCCTCTCTGTGTGCCCCTTTCCGTGTGCTCCTTTCTGTGTGTCCCTTTCTGTGTGCCCCTTTCAGTGTGCCCCTTTCTAGATGCCCCTTTCTGGATGCCCCTTTCTGTGTGTCCCTTTCTGTGTGCTCCTTTCTGTGCACCCCTCTCTGTGTGTCCCTTTTTGGGTCCCCCTTTCTGGGTGTCCCTTTTTGTGTGCTCCTTTCTGTGTCTCCCTCCTCACCACAGCCTCCTGTCTGTCTGCCCATCCCAAAAACCAAGTGACAAATCCCTTTTCCCACCATGCTGTGCCTATCCTCCAGAGAGACCCTTTAAGCTGCTTTTTTTCCATCCTTCGGCAAGATCATACTTCTTACCCTCCCTTCCCAAATGCCCATCTTCCTTCTTTCACATATTTCATTATTTCTTACAAAATCTCAGTTTCTTTTTCATCATCTTGGATCCTCTGTTCAGCCAAAATTTGTACAACTGCCTCTTTTCCTCCATTCCCCCAATCCTCCCTTCACGGCATTCCTGCATCAGAGTCCTTCTTTCCAATCACTTGAGAAATTATACTGAGGTGACAGCTTTTAAAAACATTGCCAAGACCATAATGGATATTATGGTCAAATGTAGCAGAAAATCTGTCTCTTAAGTTGTCCCTTAATTTGAAATGGACACTGAGAGTTTTTCTTCATCTGAAATTTACCCTGTAAAACTTTTGGATCCAAGGAGCACTTGCAATGATGTACATGGATAACAAGGCACATATGTAACAAGGCACATGTTTCCACACAAAACAACCCCACAAAAGCCAGAAAAAACCTCACCCAATTTACTCAGATTTGCTTTTATTTGGAATAAATTTGCTGGTAGGACCAAGAAGATTGCATCCTTTTTCTCCCACTAGCAAACAAGCCACGGACTCCCAAGATGAGAAATGCACCCCATCTCTTAATGGTGCAATTCAGGCCCATTTGTGAAGAAAACCTGCTCTTTGCTGCAAAAAAAGCCCTTCTCTCAGAAATCTCTTTGCTCTGGAAAATATTCTTTATTTCTTCACGACTTTTCTTTCGTCTGCTTCTTACTTATGACCTTCTTCTTCTTCTCACCAGTCACTTTGTCACCAGTGACCACTGATAGCAGCATCTTGAAATGTATGGCAAAATTCCGAGTCAGCCTGGTGGGTTTTTTCCTAATTTATACTCCTGTTATTTTACCTGGTAGAACCATGCAGCAGCTGATCATCAGTGTGCCTTGGTGCTCAAATTCCTTGAGCAGTGTTGGTTGGACCACAGAACTTTACCTGGTTTGTTATTGGGAAGTTCGTGAGAGCCCCTGTAGTTGATACCCCGTGTCCATCACCATTCTTGACTGAAAACATTGCTGCTGAGCTGGGTGGAAAGGAGAAATGACACTGAGGCCACAGCCCTTCTCTGAGTGCTGGTTTTGCAACAAAATCTACTCTGAAAAAGACAGAAAGGGATCATGGAAAATTTCTAAGTGCTATAGAGGAAAGAGCTACCTTCCTTTTGCCAGGTTTGATTTCCAGAGAGGCACATAACTCCATTTTTCTGTGTATACACATGTATGCATACACACACCTGTGCCCAGGAGAAGAAATGTTCAGATTTCAAAGATTTAAAAACCAGACACAGTGATTTCTTACCAGGCTTTAGAGGTCCAAAGCAGCACAAAAATCTCAGAATCAATCAAATGACTGCTGAAGAAAACTTAAATGCTGGAGATGAGGGACAGCAAAGGAAATGATAACACTTTAATATTTAAACCAACTCTTCTTATTGTATACAGCACTTAAGGCAAAGGAAAAAAAATTACAAGTTGAAACTAAGACTGCCAGGC